CACCCCATGTGACCCATAACTCAGTAGCAATAGAGGTGAATATGTGTAGCTCAGGGTTGAATTGTGGAGTCCTTGGGGTTCTCTGAGCTTGGTTCTTTTCTTGCAAACGTTTCATTCGTTTGTAAGAAAAGAACCAAGCTCAGAGAACCCCAAGGACTCCACAATTCAACCCTGAGCTACACATATTCACCTCTATTGCTACTGAGTTATGGGTCACATGGGGTGATCTGGACCCTCCCCATTTGACAAAGTCGGCCCAGCCTAGCTAATCTGGATTATCTAGGTGTCTCTGCATTTCACTTCAGATAAGGCCTCACCCGCCTTAGCAATATGAAGTGTGTTATAGCATCACCCAGCCCTTGCAACAGTAATGAAGAGACGGTTTATATCACCACACTGATAACTCAATGATGCTAAAAGATACTATAAATCACTGATGTAGTAAATACTTGGCAAATAAACTTCACCTACAAACCCATCTGTAAAATGTGTCAGTCCTTCCAAAGAAAAAATACTGCTTTTATAAACATCATATGCTTCTGACTCACAGTTCAAGCTGGCACCGTTCCTTGCTGGAGTAAAGTTAGTAAGCATGAGGGAGCCTACGCTCAGGTTCAAAATCCCTTTTGGCTGTGGACGACTTAGAGCCAGCCCAGCGTACCCCACAGAGTTGTAACCATGGCAATGAAGTGAAGGAAGTAGTCCCACAAGGGCCATCCTGTACCCCTGGAGGAAGTCAAGCCAAATAGGGGCCTTCAAGATTCTTTGGGTTGGTCATGTAGAAGATGAGGTAGAACTTTTTTGGAGTTCTTCCAAAGGACAGAAGAGGAAACTGAGTTTCAGTGACATGGAAACAGAATTCATTTGAACATCAGGAACATGACCTACTGGGAAGACTGGCCCATGATGGCCGAGGTTGTTGGGGAGGTGGTGGACTCTCCTTTGCTGGAGATGTTTAAGGAGAATCTGGAGGGCCACCACAATAGGAATGATGTAGTGGTGGGTTTCTGTCCTGGCCAGGGATGTTAGACAATAATTCTCCAAAATCCCTTCCAACCGCCCCCCCCCCCAGTTCAATACACTAGAATTTGGATTCCTGCATTGGGCAGAGGGTTGGACTAGATGGTCTCCAGAATCCTATCCATCCCTTCCATTCTGTGACACCATGATTCTTGGCTTTCAAGCACACTGATAAACTATAGCATCTGACTTGCCCATGAATATGTACCCTTTTGAAGAGGTTGGATTCACAGTGCACTGAACCAGAAGCTAACTCCAGCTCTGGGCTCATCCAACCCACTAGTCACGGGACGGTTTGTGGCTCAGGGGGTTGTGTGAACCCAGCCAGAGCAGTGAGAACGGGAACTGCCTGAAACTGAGGCTGGGAAGGGGTGGTGGAAACCCTTCCTTTGCTTCTTCTGGCGAGAGAGGTGTGTGAACTGTCTCAGAGTAGAAGAAAGGACGGGCAGAAACCCAATGAACTGAGCTCAACATTAAGGAGGAAAAATGCCAAGGTTCTGCATTGCTCCATCAGCCAGTTCTGCACCGGGAGGGCAGACAGCTTAAGAGGCTACAATTCAACTTGTGCCAACAAACTGAATTTCCCTCCTGCCTCTTCTGGCCAAACCACCCCCTTGCTCCTATTTCACCCAGGCCCCGTGTGAGCCGAGGGATGCAGGATGGTCCCAAAAGGTTGAAGGGGGTATGTGTGTGGAATCAGCTCTTAGCAACCCCATTGCCAAATTCCTGAGTTCTCCTCTTCTTCTTCCTCTCCCCGGGACCTCATGCTCATGTCCGAACATCGATGGGAGCTGGACCTACCATAACTTGTGGGATCCGCGTCTTCCTCCTGCAGGCTTCTGATGGAGTGAGAGATGCGCCACGGGCTCGGCGGTTGAGAATTTTCCTCCTGTCTCTCCCTGACTCTCGGCTTCTATTCCGAGTCCCTCGCCCAGATCTGAGTCTCTGCAATCCGCTGCTGAAACAGAGCAAAATCCAGATTTATTTGGCTAAGCTCCTGGCCACAAGCTGCTGTGGGCCTTGACAGATCTCAACTGCAGCAGTGCAAAGACCTAGGAACGGGGGCTTGGATCCGACTCTCCCATCCAGGCAAGAAAAGGGGAAAGGACACCCCAAAAACTGGGAAAGAAAGAAAGGAAAAAAATCTGTTGCACGGGCTATTCTATCACAAGGAAGCAAAATGTATTCAAATGGATCAAAAGCTATTCTGTTCCCTCCCAGCCCCATTCACCCATTTAATATAAAGCCTAAGAATATGATTTAGGGGCCCAATTTTGCTATACTGTAAAACCAGACACACCCTGATCGCATCAATGGATGGGGCCATAAATAATTTTCTTTAATTTTCTTTTGTTTCATCGGCTGCTAATTTGTTCTGTTCTGATCCGTGACTGTGATGAAGTTTAGTTAGTGAGAACTAATTCCGGAGAGGGGTAAAATACAGCCCCCCCCCCGAAAGGCTGAGTTGGTATTACTGTATTGATCAAGATCTCTCAAAATCGTGTTTTAATTGAGACTTTCCTGCATGTGGGTTAAACACGGTGCAGAAGAGCATGAGTTTTTGGCATTCACATAAAAATGGAATATTTCCTCAATTCACAGTCATATTTGAATGGAGATTGTG